CAAGACTCAGCTGCAATGTCTACTCAGCGTCTCTTCACATGAAGTCCTATAATGGGCTGGTTTAGCTTGGGGCAGGGTAAGACTTACCTTTCCTTCATCTTTAGGTCAGCACTTCTTAATCGCTTGCCAAGAGCTAACAAGCCGGCTGTCATTCTGTTAACATCCAAAGGAAAGAGCTGAAACTATACATCTGGCAAGAAAATGCTGTTCTATCCTCCACTGGAACTCCATTCCACATCATTAAGACCTTTAAAAAGCAGTAAAACTGCACATTTCACACACATTTCTCTTCTGGCTGACCTTGGCTGTCAGCGCGGGAGAAGCCCCTGCTACTGACACACCACTGCTTCTAGACCAGTACTGCTAGGCTCACTGTCCAGCATCACTGCTGAGTATCTCTCAAAGGCTTTCAAATGCCCACATTTGAAAGGACTTTAACTCCTTACTGGCCAACAAAGTAAAAAAAAAAAAAAAAAAATAGTGCCTTAGTCATAGGTGTGGGAGGGAGAATGGATCTGTAACTCTGTCTTATCCCTGCCCTTAACACAGCCTCCATAGAGCTGCTAGGGAACAGCTACTTGGGATGAAGAGATTTTGTTTCTCCCTGCTCTGTCTTCCTCTCGACAAATATCTGTGCATTTTTTTCTGCCCTAAAAGTTTAAAATTCTAACCAGGTATTTCACATTTGTTACATCACAGCGTATTATGTTGAGAGCATAATCTCAGTTGATGCCTCCTGGTGAGAGGTATCAAGCAAGACACCCAACACAATGTCCCCGAGCACTGACAAGAGAATTGGAAAGGGACTCATAGAGGTTTGAAACGCCCTCACAGAAGGGTGTCAGGCATCTGTTTCTGGCTGTACTTACTCCCATTCTGGCTGTACTTATTCCCAGCATAATTAAGACTCTGAAGAGAACCCTTGTAAGGCTCACTTACAACAGTGTCCAGTCAGTAACATTGGCCAGCAGCAGATGCAGAGGAGAAAACAGCAAAAGGAACAGGCCACAGACTGAGTAATCCCTTCCCTGCTACATGCCCCAAGCTTCCAGCACTGGCCATTTAGAGACTTCCTGAGCTAAAGGCCACATCCGGACCATTGTATTTAGTAGCCACTGATGGACGTATCTTCTATTAATTTGTACAATCTTTTTTTAATCCGTTTACACTTTTGGCCTCCACCACATCCCATGGCAATGAGTTCCAAATTTTAATAATATAATGTGTGAAGAAGTACTTCCTCTTGTTTTAAACCTGCTGCCTGATCATTTCATTGGGTACCTCCAGTTGTGTCATAAGAAATACTGATTAATCACTTCCTATTCACCTTCTCCACAGCACTCAGTTTTACAAACACCTATCACCTCACTCAACTATACCCACCCTCACTCATCCTTTCTGCTATTTAATCTCTGCTACGGACTCTGCCAGTTCCATTTTTTCTATTATTAGAAATAATTATTTCTATTATTTTATTAATATTATTTCTATTTCTCTACTATTACTTCTCCTGTGGGTTTTTTTGTCCACAGTTAAATTTAAGCTGGGGCTTGCAAGAAATCCTTTCAATGACTCTAAGATTCTTCTCATAGTGGTAACACCTCATCCACAGTTCATTATGTATCCAAGTGCTAGACTCACTTTTCCCTTCTCCCTGTGCATTATTCCACATTTATCAACAATCATATCTGCTGGTTTATCAGCTACTCACAAAATATGCTGAAAACTCTTGCAAAGACCAGCATCATCATTTTTTTAACTTAATATACCTGGACCTATTCAAGCAACAGGACCCCAGCAGCTGGAGTCCAGCATATTCAATATAATTAGTCACTACTATCCCTGTGTGGCTGGCATTCTTCTCAGTCACCAGCAGGTTCTTGCCATACCACACCAGGACCATGGAGATGGAGACAGTCGGCAGCTCAAGGAACCTGTAGGAAAGAGTTCTATACTTCTTATTTTATGTTGAAAAAAACTTTCAGACAGATATGCTTACACCAGAAGGGTTTGCCCATGGCAGAACAAGACGTGGAAAACTTAATTCAGAAAGCCCTCTTGTGAAAGCCTCGCCTTGCAGACCAACAAGGGTCAGTGAGCAGGTTACAGAACACTGAGGCTGGGTGAGACAGGGCCAGCAGTGGAACAGATGCATGGCTCCAAGACAAGCCCCCTTCCTGGGGACTCCCCTGTCATCTCCAGGCTATTTTCAATTTAGAAGCCCCCCAGAAGGAGAGCCACAGGCTGACAAAACTTTCCACCTCAAAGAGCTCCCGGAGTCTTCTAAGAATGGATGAAGGCTCCTGGGAATGAACTTTGGCTTCAGGGGTCATTTGGACATTAAAAAGAGAGATCTGTTTTAGGGGCTGAGAAAGGAGGAAAAGAACTTCCTTAGCAGAGCTCAGCCATCACTGTGGGGAATGGAAAGAAGGACACAGAGTCTTGCCTAGTCCAGCTTCTCTTAGGGGGTGAATTAAAAAAACCCAACCAAACAGGAACACTTCTCTCAACTGCTAGAAATTGTGGCGGGGGGGACTGGGGAGAGAAGGAGGAAGAATGGGAGGAGCAGGAAGTGGTAACTTGTTTGGACTCCTGAAATGAAACTCCAGTACTCACAGGGTTTCACAGCTCACCACTTGTTTTCACCTTGTCAAAAAAACTGAAGCAACAACTCAGGTCAGGATTTTGTGCTGTCTGTGGTTGCTCTTGGACGCAACTTCAAAATCCAACAAAAAGAAAGCTCTTTTATTTGCAACATTAGCCCTTTCACTAGAGAAAATCCAGTCGTCTTCGGTCTTTAAAGCAACCACGTAACAAGCTTTCTCATCCCAGAATCTCTCATCTCTCCCCCCTCTTTCCAATGCATATACACTTTTATAATGGGCTTTTCCATGAACTCTGCTGACTTTACTGAAGTTGATTGAATATTTCAGGAACAATTTAGACATTCCTGCCAAACATAGTTCCCTGGAAACCCAGCAAGACTCTTGTGGAAGGTCTGGGCTGTTGCCTGCTCAGGTAGTGTCATTCTAGGATACTGAGAAGGAAACATAACCATAGAATCATAGAATCATTTAGGTTGGAAAAGAGCTTTAAGATCATCCAGCCCAACCAATAACTCAGCACTGCCAAGTCCACCACTAAACCATGTCCCTAAGTGACTCATCTACACGGCTTTTTAAATACCTCCAGGGATGGTGACTCAACCACTTCCCTGGACAGCCTGTTCCAATGCTTGACAACCTTATGGTGAAGAAATTTTTCCTAATATCCAAACTAAATCTCCCCTGGGGCAACTTGAGGCCATTTCCTCTTTTTTCTTGTTATGTATGAGAAGAGACCAACACTCAACTCATCTTTCTTGGAAAAGCCCATTCATTTAAGGATGGCATGAGCACTGAAGATGAGCAGACAGGAAGGATGTAAAATGTAGAGGTTCCAAGTTATGAATGAGCTCTTTGTCTGATTCTTCCCTCCACAGCCCTATTATACCCATCAGAAGCTTCTCGCAATGCTCTTCCAGTTATACTGCACAAAGCCCTCACCCCTTTTCCCATCATCTCAGTGATAAACATCCCCACAAGACGTTTACTTGCAAAAAATGCATGCAAAATTTCTGCATGCCCCAGGGTCCAACAGCAAGTAGGAGAACATAAAGTAAGACGGGGCGCTGTCCCTGCCTCCTCATTTCAGATATAATTTTGGCACATGGCAGAACATTACCCCAAGCAAAACATAATCAGGTAATGAACGGGGATTTGCACGCAATTCCAGCAATGGGCATGACCACAGGCACTGATCACTGCAAGTTATTCCCTCCAAGGATCTTCACAAATCCCATCTTTGCACACCAGCTGCACAATAAATGGCTGCAAGACCTAATGTCATTTGTAGTTTTAACTGGATTATCAACTGAGGTGACATAGTAGTTAACATTTCTACACAAAAACATGTTTATTACAATGATGTAGAACTGACTCAGAGCACAAAGATGCTTTGAGGTTTTCCTGCTTGATCAGCAGATTCAAATCCCTTGTTGCCAGATTGGCATAAATTGCTAGCCAGTCCCTTCCCAAGAGACAAGCTTTGACTATCTCTCCTAACAACAGTAACCAGTCATGTACCAATTAGATGTGCATCCTTTCCAAAACCAGCGTCACGAACACCCAAATAGAGTATCTTTGGATCTTACAACCCTCTCATTCCAGAAGTCAGGCTTTTGAAAATGTCGGAGAATATATCCTCAGCTTCCCCTAATATGCAAAAACCCTCCAAAACGTACACTGAAGGAAAAAGGGAGAAGCTAAAATAATGATGGAACTGCAAGGTACAAGCAGAAATTATTTTTCAGCTATCTTTAAATATTTCTATTTTTACATGCAATTAGTTCTTTCATGTTCTTTAGGTCTACCTCTGCTCATTTTAAAATCAAACTGCCAGCAATTTTTTTTTGCCAGCAGTTCACTTAGAGCCTGCTCTCTGCCACCCCTTCCCTCCCCACCTGCAGGCAAGCAGGGATCTGGGCCTCACAAGACAACTGTGGCGTGGGTGTTATTGGCTGTCTGTTTTGGCAGCCTCTCATTCTTTCTTCCAGTTCTGTTTTGAAACACAATCTAAATTAAAAAAAAATAAAATTGAAAAAAAAAATTAGACATTCCTGCTCTCCCTACTCACTCACATCAGCAGCGCTCTCCATCACCACAGCCTGAAGCATGGCTGCAAAAGGAGCAGCACCAGGAAGGCTGGCAAATGTTCAGCAAGGAAAAAACTTACTCTGAGAACAGGTACAGCCTTCTGGAGGGGCAGAGGCAAAAACCAGGGGAAAGAGCACCAGGAGAACTTGGGCTCGCTCTCTTCCATATTTAATAGCATTAGGCTCTAACATGTAATTTGGACTAAAAGACTAATTCTTTCCTGTGGTTTGATGGATGTTAACATCCCCTTTTTTTATTATTCTTTAATAATATATTACATAACATTCTGATACACTAATTACCATCTCATGTCATAGCAATTTTATTAAGAGTTTATACTTACAAACACCCATTCTGAAACGATTTCAGGACTTTTTTGCCATTTTCTCTGAACTACGCTTGTTGAAGCACTGTCAGCACGGTCTGACGCCGCTCTGTGCACCTTCCTACACAAAGCTGGCTCGTGAGCCCTGGGAGTCAGGCATGGATTCTTCTTGCGTTTAGTCTCAAAGACTTGTAAACAAGTTACTTTTAGCACACTAGGTTGTGATTAAACACTGGTAACACAGCCCTATTAGGTTCCTGTACCTGCTACAGTTCCAAATCCAGAAGCAAGGCTAAGAGACAAAAATTCCTTTTTACCAAGTAATGGAAAATTTGTTAACTTTTCTGCAGTTAGTGTTTGCTCATTAATATGTTATCATCTCACCAGGCAAGACTTGGTACCATGAGGTATTTTTCTGTATAAAACTGCTAATGCCATCAGGATTGTCCAAATGGGATCATCATCATTAAAAAGATTACATGGTGAGGAAAGTGATTACGACAACATCTCAGCAGAAGGATTACTAATCACAAGTAGAATCCTGGTACAAATCTCATTCTCCGTATACAAGAAAGGACACAAAATCTTTTTAACATAATTTATATACATTTATGGCTTTATACAACAAACTGTCAGGGATTGTTCTCATGTGTCTGTAGAAGTACATCAGGCACTTTTTCTGAAAATATCCACGTATGAATTTTAATTTTGCAATGTGACTAAGTCAGAGCAGTGAAGCGTTGAAGAGCTGTCACACCACTCGCAAATAGAACTACCAGTATGTACATGCCAATCTCTCAGATATTGCTGGTTTGTGGAACACCTTCAAAAAAGAGGCCAGTTTTCATGTTGAATAATTTGCTTTTTGTTGGCATAAACCATGCTGCATCTTACATTATGATTACCAAAATAATAATAATAATAATAATAATGAGAATACCTTATTTAAAATCAGTCATAAATTAAGAATCCTAGCAATTTCATAATGAAAATAGGAATTTCAAATCAGTAAAAAAATAAAAAAGTACTAACATACATCCAGTGGTTTAACAAGTGCAAATTTTATACTGTTTTATAATTGGTCCAATTTTAACTTCTCAGGGATGCTCTGTTGACCTAAGCCAATAATAAGCAATATGATTTTTGCTTATAAGTGTAGGCAAACTGTCAGTTTATCAAAGCAGAGCTTTCCAATTAATGCATCTACTACCTAAACATATATCATATAGCTATATTATGGAAACAATACATCTTTATATTTAAAATATCTCAACAGCTCTATAATACAATAAACTTTTAATAACAGTACAAACCAGAGAAAAGTCAAAAACAAGGCTGCATAGGTAAGATCATCTGCACAATTCACAAACCAATCATTTACAACAATTCTGACAAACTAAGTTACTCCAGAAACTTGGTACTTTTACTGAAAAAGGATTTATAAGTAGAGGTCACATAATGTTTGTTTTCAAGGCAGACAACATGCTCCTTCACCAACTTCACAGTATTCCAGAATTACAATTGCAAAACATTAGATGGCACCACAAAAAAAGACAAAAAAAACAAAAACAAAAAAAAACAAAAAAAAAAAAACCAAAAAAAAAAAAAAAAAAAAAAAAAAACAGAACCAAAAAACCCCAAACAAATGAACAAAAAAACCCCTCAAAATGAAAACCCAAACCCCAAAAAATGCTAAATAGACCACACAGCCCAAATCTCTGATTACCTACAACCGTTTTCTCAAAATAATTAAAAGGGCTTTCTACAGATTGTTGTAATTAAGGTAAGGCTACATTTATGTTATTCATAGGTATAAAAGGAAAGGAATAAAACAGCTGTTTACAGGAAGTTATACAGTAGCAGTAAATAATAAACAGGAGGTATACTGTTAAATGTAGCATGTTCAGCTGCATCGCCACGGAGCATAGAATTGATTACTGCTTTCTTTACATGCAGAGGTGGATTTTATGACAACTTTGGCCTATGTGTATCAGTGCCTATTTGGGAGCCAACATTTTTGCAAATGCAGCAGATAGAATGATCTTCAGAAACCCCTGTATGAGCCCTCCACTTGCCCCACCGCCAAGATTTACTACCATGTTTCAGAGACCAGGCATTTGATGGTGAAGATGCTACTGGAGATATTTGCCTGTAAAAGCAGGTGGCTTCACCGAGGCTTTGGCACTAAGAACATTTGATTTTGATCAAAACAAGTTCAACGACCAATTTCACGCTGGGGAAGATCCTGTATCACATCAGCCTCTGGAACTGCCTGACAACCATAAAAACATATCTAAAAAAGTAGGACCAGCTGTAATTAGTAGTGATTTAAGTCCAACAGGGAGCTAAATGCTAGCACATCAATAAATACATTGTAGAGCCTCAGGAAAGTCCTAACAGGATCATTAAATATATGGCTTGTTACTAAACTTAATTTACTTGGCACATCCTGTTTTCTTCTCCACCATACACCATCACTACAGGGAAGATGAGTTTCAACAAGGACATTTTCTGGTTGTGAGCTATTTACACAAAAGAAAAATCAGTGTAAAAATATTTGTATCTCCCCTTCTTCATAACAGCCAGCCCTAGCAAAAAAAACACCTGTTAATTCTGTCAGCGCATTAAAAAAAACTCCAAGGATTTCTGTAACACAAATATTGTGTGGCAACCAGTGAAAAGCCAGGTGAGGCCTCTTATTCACACATCCATGAAAACTGCATCATGCAATGACAAAAAATCAGAAATCGCTTATTTTAAGACCTAGTCCTCAGACAGCTGTCAGTGTGCTTACTCCAGCAAGACCAGGTTTTTCCACAGAAACAAAATCCCTGTTATTAATGCTCTCCCCTGTCTTAAACCTCATGCATTTGTATAACTTTGCTACTTACTTCATCTTTCTTTTTGAAAAAAAAGTAATGTTTTGTCCTGCAATAAAGTCCAAGTTTTAGCCTCCCACTCAAAAGTAGCATTTTTGCCTCTTCAAATCTACTGCTTTACAAAAGAAATACTGATGAACCCTAAAATTAGTGCTAATTAAGACAAATGACAATTTTGTCCTTAACTTTGCTACAATTACAAATTTACCGCAAAAGGTCCTGCTCTTGAGTGCACAAACATTATGAGACCTCCACGAAATAAATATAAATGTGAAGCATTGTACAAGCATCTTAACAATGAATACTTAACACTTCGTGGTAGTTAAAATGGTAATAGAAGCAGATGACATTTCTAAAAATGCATATATAAAACTGATTAAATATTTCTAAACATAAAGTTGTCTATATTTATACATCACACAACAAAAAAAGGGACAGAAATGTTTTGTATTCAAGATCCTTATCAAGCTTTTCTGTTATTAGCACTCCCAAGTGCTACGGAAATTTATAAAAATGTGTACTTAATCCAGTTAAAATACTGTACAAAATGAAGAGGTTATGAATGCTGCCAGATCTCAGATTTATTTTTTTTTTAAAGTTGCCTATGTAACAAAAGTAGACTTTAATTATAAGAAAAATAACTTGGAAAGTATTCCAAAAATTATCTTAAGCCCAACAATAAAGTGATTAATCTGACAATGAAATCCAGATATAGTCTTGCATAAATTTACACAAATACAGGTAAATTATCAAATGGCGTTTAACCTACTGGTTGCTTTGAATAGTCAGTGAGTTTAGTAGGATCATATTTAACAGGCTATTCTATTCCCATATGAAATGTGTGGCAATTTTGAGTAAAATAAAGCAGTTCATACTGCTGCAAGGCAAGTCCACAGTTATCTCAATTCATCAAAACACAGGTAACATCAACGAAGGTTAAACTTACTTAGGGCATGAGATCATCACAGTATTCTTACAAAAGTTTATAAACTTTTCTTAGACTGAAACAGATAGTCTTAAAAAACAAGTCTTCTTCTACAGATCATACTGTACAAAACCGAAAGCACAACATGATGTAAGTAAGAGTCTTTGCTGTGATTATATGGTGTAGTGAATTTGGCACTTCAGAGTAACGAAATTTCCAATGGCACAGTTCTTATCTACAGCAGCACATAACCTGCAAACCTTGGGCAAACATCCTGTACAGGAAAATACTCTCTCTGCTGCCAACTCTGACGAAAGGAAGGCAAAAGAAAAAAAACCAAAAAAACAAAAAACCCCAAAAAAGTTAGTGCATGCGCACAGCTTTGTCAAGAAAATTAAAAAGAAAGGTGAAGGACATCTTTGTACTGCTTTTCTCAGTTCCTGCTGTCAGACAAGTCTGGAGAATTTAACCATAGCCTAGGAAGAAAGAAAAAACAACAAAAAGAACAAATTAATATTCACAACAGATGAATAAATCTATTAAAATATGCTCAAGCTAGTTTAAAGATATTTAAATGCGGGAAAAAAATTACTCATTACTGGCTAGTAACCAGCAATTTTTTTGTTTAGAACATCGATGACAAAACATTTAGCGCTCCACATGAAGTAAGCGAAGTCGGTACTTGACAGTCCTAATGCACCAGTGCAAACCTGATTCTCAAACTAACAAAGGACTGGAAAGTGACTGACTGTTACGGAGGGAGTTCACATGCCAACACAGAAGAACTCCCAGATTTTAAGCATCTTGACATTTCTTTCTTTTCCCTTTAGCAGTTTTGCAGATTTATTATAAAACACAGCTTACCTCCTACTACATCCTAGCCTGACACCCAACTGTGTGTGGTTGTCTTTACGCTGTGCTGAAAACTTTGGTTAGGCAATACACTGTCAAAGTTAAAATCTAACGTTTCTCCATCCATAAGGTCATTACGGATAATGGACTCCATGTCACAGTCCAACCGTTCAATTAACATGTCATCTAAGTCACTGGGAAGCTTCTCCTGGTGGAGGGAAACAATTCCCACCCTCCCGTAGCCATTGCAACTGTTAACAGGGGCATATGGATTCATGGCATTCATCTGCATCGGGTGACTCATAGGCACTTGTAACGAAGTCTTCACTGTCGACAGGCGATTTAGCCCTGACGTGTGTGACATGGTGTTCACTGTGTGTGACAAGGCACGGCCATTGACTGCAGGCGCTGGCTGGTTATGTCCCTGGTGAGGGCGGGCGTTGGGGTTCATCATTTTGTTGTGGGGTGGCTGGCTGCCGTAGTTCGGCACCACCGAGTTGGCGACCATCAGCACGCTTTGGCCCAGCGCCCTGCCACCAGCCTGGGAAACACCAGCGTCCACCGATGCCAGGATATCGTTGTGTGGCGGAGAGTCTGAAGTCAGTAACTCCTTCAGAAGTCCCGCAGGACAGTTGTATTGGCTCATCGATCCATAGCTTGATTTACTGTCTTGGAGAGTCTGCATAGGAATCTGGGACAAAGAGCTCATGCTAGCTTGAGCGTAAGTGAATTTCCTGTAGTCAGGATTTGGTGAACCTATACTTGTGGTTGAGGATGCGAACGAGTAACCTGGTGTTTGCTGCATCAGGGTGGCAGATGAAGACTGGGTTGACACAGTCATTGATGTATTAGGTGATAAGAGATTGAGATTATCCAAAAGATTTTCCATGTTCTCAGAATTACTCATCTCTGAAAGGCTTGGTAGAGTAGAAGTCATTTTGGTGGTTGATGATGGGTATACCATGGAGTGCACATCCCCATCTCCAAGGTCATCTTGCTCTGGCAAAATAGGAGAAAGTCTTCCACTAATTGTGCTAGCATTTGAGCTCGTTCTAGGTCGAAATGTACTCCAGTTATCAAAGTCATCATTACTGTGAGAGCTGGGACTTGCAGGCCACTTTGAGAACTGTGATCCGGGGCTGTCACCATTTCCCTCTTGACCAGACTGAAGGGCTGCTTTTTTCTTGGCAGCTCTGCCTCTGCTTTTGGCAAACTTGCTGTTGTTATCCATGGACGCTGCTCGCCTCCTAGGAGATTTGCCACTCTTCCCTCCTTCAGGATTGAGCATCCACCAGGAACTCTTCCCTGTTCCTTCATTCTGCACTCTGATGAACTTGCTGTGCAAAGACAGGTTGTGACGGATTGAATTCTGAAAAACAGAATAGCGTGTAAGAAATGGAGAAGACATGCATCTTTTATGGCATACTAACACCTGCTTTTGTAAGCATACTCTCATTTTGTTAGAAAACACAGGAATAATCATTAAATAAGAAAACATGCCAGCCTGGAAACCTCTTTTATCTGTTCATCGCTCTGAACTGGCTGAAACAAGCTTGCAAAGAGTCGCCATGTCAATTTGACTGTTATCTGCCTTCATCGCATCTGACATTATAAAAAGTTCAATAAAACTGCAGGAACCGTTCTGAAATAAAAATTCCACATAAAGGAGAAAAAAGTAAGCCAGAAGATCAAGAAGATGACTGAAGTGAGTCATCTAATGAGTGAATCTGACTGTATTTATGGATTTTTTTTTAATTATTATTTTATGCAACGTTCAGGAATGTTAGATCCTGTCCTATGGTCCTTATAATGGATTCTCATCCTGCACATCCCAAAACCCTACACACACACGACAGACAAATTGTCACTATTTCCACTGAGCATTAGTGAGGCTTATATCCCTTGTTATATATATATGTTATATGAGAAAATACATCTAGAAAACCAGTTGAGGATTAAGTTCTTATTTTTATAAGTACATCACAAACATCATAAATTGCCTAAGAAATCATAGAAGATAAAGGCATGTAAAGAACATAGAGAAGCTTGTAATGAAACCCTCAGTCTAAAACCATCTTTCTCTTTCAAAATCAACACTTTAATATGCAAAATTGACTCTTCAAATACGTGAAGGCACCAAATATCTTGTGCCAAGAAGATATTTCAGAGGTACTGGAGCTTTTTCTGACCTCCTCAGCCATGAGTAATGTTTCATGTTTTGTTCTTAAATACAGACAAATAAAAAACAAAATCCAAAATGGAAGGCCACAGGCTGACCTGTTAACAAGAGACTAATCTTTGCACTACCAAGCTGTAAAAAAACCTATTTTGCTCATATAATTTTCTGCTGAGCACATGTAAAAAACATTGTATCAACAGAAAAGTTTTCCTGCATCTTGACACAGCTGCTAACAAAAAGCCACAAGTTCAAAGAGTGCTGAAATAGACAGCCATAGATGTTAATAGAAGGGTGAGACAGTACCATGGTCTATGCCAGGACTGCAATTCATGCAGAACAGGGAGGAGGGAACCACAAAACAACACATGAAGTAAATGTGTAAAACCAGAAATTAGACCTCCATGGCAGAGGAATCAGTAATTCACTACCTGCCTTCCATTCACAGTGATTTTCATCAACTTGTCTAAAGATCTTAAGTAGGCATTCCAGGCACAAACAGTCATCTCATGGCTTAAACCAGAGATAACAGGCTCAAATTCCCTGCAAGAGCCACGATATGTTTTGGACCATGGAAAGCCAAACAGACAAAGCAGGACTGGCCATCTACAGAGCTCAACAGAAGTGGTTACTCTGGGATCAGAGAGGAGACTTTCAGGAGATGAGGGCAGCAAGGAGGTGCTGCAACACCTTACAGGTGCTACTGACTTGAGACTGTGCCCCCAGAAGCACAGCTTCACCCCAAACAGGGGCACCAGACACTCCCTAACACCAGAAGATGGCAGAGCATGGCCTCAAGGCACTGACTGTTCAACCAGCACAGCGCAGAGACAAACCATGTGCCCAAACTCAGAAGCCTTTCCAACCTCTCCTCCAAAGAACCATCTTTACAAGTTATCCCAGTTAAACAGCCACCATCAAAAATTCCCCATCCCTGGCAGTATTCAAGGCCAGGCTGGATGGGGCTTGAAGCCAGCTGGTCTAGTTTAAGGTAACCCTGCCCATGGCAGGAGGGATTGGAACTAGATGGTCTTTAAGGTCTCTTTCAGTCCAAAGCATTCTACCACTCTATAATGACTCCATGATTTGAGTGTTTCCTTACTCAATTTCAAAAGGAAGCCAATCTCCTAGAAACTGTAAAGTAGGACTGTACCTCTCCACTTCTGGAAATTTTACAATCAAAATACTATCTTTAATCTAGCAACAGGGTGCTAGAGAAAGCCTTGGAATTTTATTTGCACCAGCTGCAGCTAACACATAGGGAGGGTAAGCCTGGAAATCCATCTTTGGACTTGCCCACAGCCCCAGGGGCTGGCCGGGAAGCCTTGTGAGGCCGGCCTGGCGCAGCCCGTTGTTTTCACTCAAGGGCCACAGACGAACCTGCGGCTGACTCAAGTCCAGCTCTACAAATGTCGCAAGAAAGTTGCTCTGTGCGGCTGTTGATTAAAAAACCTCCTGCGCCAGTTCATTTTTTTTACTGTATTTTGTAAACATACCCGGTTGGCTCAGGATCAGTGTTTACTATCAAAATAGTCATACCAAACACACAAAACGTCGGTCAGGGAAAACACCGTGATGAGGCTCAGCTCCCTCTTCTCTGCTACACAAGTGTTAAATATTTAAGAAATCGCTGCTATTCCTTAGTCATCAAAAATGCTATAATCTGGTATTATTGTACTGAGGACATTTGAGGTCGCTCTTTGAGTAACAGAGCTGTCTCCTAACTCTGCCAGCAATGAAAAAAAAAATTTTCCTAACAGGAAAAGGTTTGTGGCCCAGAGCTTGTTACATAAATTCCTGTTTTTCACGCAGCCAGCAGGACATTAAAGAAGCTATGATTTACTAACTTGGAAAAAGTGTTGAAGAGGTAAACCTTGTGAAAATATGCACTGCTGTTAATGATGTTGTGTCTACAAATCCTTTCCAGATGCAAACATGACCTGATAAAAAAGTATAGTTTCAGCAGTGGATCTTGGCAGCTGGAGGAATGGCGCAGCTGTTAGTAGCTGGGGCGTGCGGCAGCACCACCAGCCCCAGCACGCTGCGGAGATGCCTTCAGCCATGGGTTTCACCTGGACTTTGAAGCAAAGCCTCCCAAAACCTGGCCTGAATAACTCCAAAAGCAAGTATCTGCATTTTGAAGCAGGTCTTGCACAGCAGCAGTTCACGCCAAATCGCACTGAGTGTAACTGCTCTGGAATTTTATCAAAATCTGGGTCAGGATGGCAGCAGGGCTGCTGCCACCTGTGGAGAGCTTCCTGGGATTGAGTTTTTGCCTCTGAGATAAAGTAAACTTACTTCAGCATTCAGACCAGGAACTGTGGATATGCTTATTGCTACTTTCTGATTAAAGACTCAAAATATGCAAAACCAGTATCAGCTACGTGCAATGTGAAGAACACATCCCAGCTAATAAAACTCATGAAGCCAAGATAATTATTCCTTTGAATCTACATATTTATATAATTCAGCTGTACTTCTGACATTTCCAACAGCACTACCAATATCCAATACTGCATTTAAACCCAAGATATAAATAGCAAAACACGCAACTTAAGTTAAACTTGACTAACAGCTGAGAAAAATTATATCCTTATCCCAACTGAAGTTCAGGCATTTAATTATTTTTTTTAGTAAATTAGGTTGATGTTTCACTAAACACCTGAAAACTCAGTTGCTCTGTTAAACTCGACAACATTGTACTTACTTAAGTGAGACCATACAGTGACATTTGGCCGTCTTTATTCCACTCCAGACCCTGGAGCACCAAAAGCAGAGAGAAGCAGAGCTCCTCTTTAACCCAACTGCAAACCTCTCCAAGCAGGACCTAGCTGTGAATTCATGATTATCTCGGGCGCTGCAAGACCCCAAATTTGTAAAAGCACCTACAAGTGCTCGTAGTCTCTCCCACCCTCATACTTTCATCCATGGGCACAGGCAGCTCTCATCCCACCAGAGTGCCATGAGAGCCACCAAAAGGGAGAGCAAGGAATGGATGTGAGAGTCAGTACACCTTACAAAAACAGTTGTATTTGCTATCAAGGTGCATATGCTGACCAGCACTGCAATAAGGCATGCCATGGCATCTCAGGGAGATGTAACAAGTAACTTGTAACAAAGGTAGGAAGGAGCTGGCCTCTGGAAGAAGATTCAGTCATAACAAACTGGGAGGCCACAGGAGCAACACTACTTCTATAATACACAGGTCTAGGATTTCCATTAAAATTAATAGTCTAATGACTGCCCACTAATTTTTCATTCAGATGACATCCCAGGAGTCCACTGCTTTCTACAGCTCTTCCAAGGGCATGGCCTACACAAGTTGCCAGCTTGTTCTACCATCACCTGCGGTAGCACATCCTGTTAATGACACCTTACAGCAGGTTTCTGAGCCAGCACAATCTCCTTGTGGTGACAACACCAAAGCAGAAGTTTTGCAGCAGAGAAATGGAGACTCCATCCCCCCAGAATTTCCATATGCTCTTACAGAAGACATTCAACCTGTCTCTCTTGGTCTTTGTATAGGGACTCTACAGCAGGTCCAGATGTTCACACCACCCTCCTCCTGGAGCCTCAGTGGCAAGTGCCACTCTAAGAAGAAGTCATTCACACTCCTAGGAAAGTGTGCAGAGGCCAGGAAGTTCTCCAGCACACTTGCTCACAGCTCATTCAGCATTGACAGCCAGGCAGCAGCAGCAGCAGGGGCTAACCATGGCAAGTGGCATCTATCCAAGGCTAAGTTAGATCATGCCTGGCAAAACAGGCAAGTTTGCCTGCAATAGCTACACCGCCTGCACCCGTTTTGCTGTGGTTTCCAACCATGCTTCCAGGTTTGTGGCACTTGGATGAAGAGCCCAAGGAGGAAAGAAAACATTGGTAACTCCAGACCTACCAGAATTTCCTTTGGTACAACTGTCTGGTGTAAGGCAATCCTGTTTGTCTTACCTAATAACTATGAAATACAAAAAGTTCAGATGCCGATGCCGCACATGGAGCTTGGATTTGCCTCAGAGCTAGTGCTGGACAGTCATTAAGCACTTGGTCTACAGACAGCACAGATTTTCTGACACTACAATGTTCACCAACACAACCACACTGCAGTGTCAGAGGCCTCAAACGCTAATGAAACAGCTAATTTTGCCAGCCAGTTGTGGTATTTTTTTATTACAGCTCAGAAACCTTCTCTGCTGTCC